CTCGAACCCACCGGCTCAGGCAATCCACTCACCTCAGCCTCCCAAAGGCACGGGATTACAGGCTGAGCCACCGAGCCCGGCTCTATTTTTCTTTCATATGAATGCATGTGATGGTTGTGCACGGACCTAATAGTGCTGATTCCCATCTGAATAAAGTTGAAGTCTGAAAGTAGGGAAGGATTCGTTTTTTGGGATTTTTGGTTTTTTTGTTTTTGTTTTGGTTTTTTTGAGTCAGAGTCTCACTCTGTCACTCAGGCTGGAGTACAGTGGCACATTCACGGTCACCCCAGCGTCATCGACCTGCTGGGCTCCCGCTATCCTTCTGCCTCAGCCTTCCAAGTAGCTGGAACAACAGGCGTGCGACCCCATGCCTGGCTAATGTTTTGATTTATTGTAGAGAGGAGTTCTCGCAAAGTGGCTCGGGCTGATATCGAACCCCTAGATTCAGACAACCGGCAGGCCTCCACCACCCAAAGTACTGGGATTACAGGTGTGAGCCACCACCCCTGGTGGGAAGGATTAGTTTTAGCTTATTTCCTCTTTCAGCTAGCTATTTACTGTGAATAACTGTCATAGTGAGTTTCTTGTCCACTTTGTTAATCGATTATTGAATAATTAGCATACTGTACTGATATCATGGTAGTAGCAGGGAAGGAAAATGTAAAACATACATAAGACCAGCACTTTAGAAATATTCTTTAAGTGAGTGTCTCATTGTCTTTCCATTGGAATAAATAGCTTTAATCGTGTCTATTTTGTTTGTTAATACTTAGAATAGTGTTTTGCATGGAGTTGGCCTTCAATCAATGTGAGCAACATCAAAAGTAAATTAACATAATATAAACCAAAGGCACAAATTCTTGTAGAAGTTAAAGAAAGGGAGATGGGTGCTTTTTAAAAAAAATTGCACGTCTAATTTTTTTCTCTTATTTCTCTTTATTCTTAATATTATTTGTTTCTGCTGTAGCCACTATCATTGGCAAAGTTCTGTCCCCCTTCCAAGATACGGGACTCCCGCTAGAGTCTGGTGGCAGCCTTGGACCTCCGTCTGGGAGGATGGGGAGGAGGAGGAGGCAGGAGAAATCATTCTTGGTTTAACAAAAATTAAAAACAAAAATGATAGACCTGCAGTCTATAGGCCATTCCTCACTCCATCAGTGATCAGACTGCCCGGGAGGGATGGGCTGGCAGGCACCAGGCCTTCCTCCCGGTCTAATTTTTTTAATGGCATTTTTTTTTTCAGTGTGGGTTGGTATCTGAGTAAACTGGCAGCATGTTGCCTCTAAAAGCATAACGTAAACTGAGACTATATATCTTGAGTGCTGATAGATCATGAATGTTCTGCTATATTGAGAGAAAATGAAGTAAGGAAAGTGAGGTTTAGAGGGAAGATTTTGGTCAGTCTAGTAATAGGAAGTGAAAAGGCATGACCTATAAAACATTGAAACAGATTTTAGGAATAAATATTTTCTCCCTTTATTGGCAGTCCTTTCTACCTGTTTTTATTAGAGCTTCCCAGCAAGATGATTTCTGAGTAAGATTGAAAAATAATTCACTTTTTCTCCTAAAATCTTTTCCTCATAGGTCTGTGTTTCTCCTTGTATTTGCATATGATCTCTAGTTCAACTTTATTAGCTATAAACTGGTATTTTGACTCCTATTTAATTCCTGTGTGTGTTTCTCAATTAGTTTATAACTTGAAAGAGAGAAGAATGTAGTTTGGCCCTTCACAGATTCCAACATTGGGTTTTCAATTTGGGAAACAAATCTGTTTAGCTTTGACAGAAAGATTTTGTGACTGGAGAAGCAGGAGCTAAAGAGGTTAATGAAAACTTGAGTATTTTGAGTTTTGTGTTTTCATTTTAGTATAACTGAACGATTCTCATGGTGAAGGGTGGATTTTGTACCCCAGGGAATATTTGGCAGTGTCTGGAGAAATTTTTGGTTGTCACAAATCTAGGGGAGGGACAGAAGTTGCTACTGACATCTAGTGAGTAGGAACCAGGGATGCTGCTAAACATCCTGTAATGCATGGGACAAACTCTCCTAAATGACAGTGCTGTTGTTGAAAAACCCTGGTATAGCTGTATACTGCGCTGTAAAATGTTGGTTCTGCAATCGTTATTATCAAAATTCATGTTTGACTTTATGTTTCCTAATGAGTGACCTTGTTAGGTTGCTTAAAGTCTGTGCCTCTGTTTCTGTAAAATAGAACTAATAGTGGTATGCTCTTTATAGGCTGGTACTGAGAATTAAATCAGAAAATGCGCAGCATGCCAAGCTTATTGCCTGGCACATAGAAAATGCTAAATATTGTTAACTGCAACTAATATTATATTTGGAACTCATCTTTAGGGTCTCCTTTTTTCTCATTTGAAATGAGAATTTGAGCTAGTGAAGTGATAATAACCTAGTTCTCCTTATATCCTTGGGGAATGAGTGAAAAATGATTCCTTTTAATATTTGTGTTTAGCCCAGTCTTGTTTTATGTTCTCAAGTTTAAAAAGCTTCTGCCATAAACAAGTAGCTTTTCATTGTAGATGTGTTTCCTTCAAGTTAAGATGTCAAGCCAACTGGCCAATAGCTCTGTATCTGTTGATTCTCAGCAAGTATTTAGTAATTTAACAGAATTTGTTTCTGTGGCTTGATTCCCATTTCCTTTTGCCTTTATAAACTGAAGTAAGTTTACAGTGGTTTTGGCCCACATTTTTCCTGTTTGTGGCCTTTGGGAGTAACTGTTTTCATAACTGAGGTCTTGGTGCACTTCACATTTGTGAAGCGTACAGGCAGACATCTCCTAATGACTTGGGGCTAGACCTTAATATACATTTGTGGCTCTTTTTCTGAATCTGAATTAGAATCCATATCTTTATCTTTCTTACTTCATTGTGATATACTATTGTAGTTTCTATGTAACTCTAATCTCCTGTGTCTAAATGATATGGCTATTTAGGGCTAGATTGTGGTTGTAGTTTTATTTATTTATTTATTTTTTTGAGTTGGAGTCTCACTCGGTCACCCAGACTGGAGTGCAGTGGCCGCTCCCGGACACCGCAGCCTTGCCTGCTGGGCTCCGGCGATCCTTCTGCCTCAGCCTTCCGAGTAGCCGGAATTACAGGCATGTGCTACCACGCCCGGCTGAGGTTGTAGTTTTAATAAGTCATTTATAAAGAGGGAAAAAAAATCACAGAGGTGTCCTCATAGACAAAACAGAGGCTTTGGTCTTTAAAAAAATACTTTACGGGCATCCCCTTCGGGTCCCCTCTCACTGTGGGAGCTTTTCTGTCTTCTCAATAAATCCTGCTTTAAAAAAAAATACTTTTCAAGAACTGGGGTCTTTCTGTGTTGCCCAGGCTGGATACACACTCTTGGGCTCGAGTAGTCCTCCTTACCTCAGCCACCTGAGTAGTTTAGACTACAGGCTCACACCACTGAGCCTGACTGGACTGTTTTTTAATGGGAAGAAGATCCACACCATATTTATAATCAAGGTAGAAAGCAATGTTGTACATTCCACTTTTTTTTTTTTGATAACCATACCTTCAAAATAGGAGATATTTTATTATCGTTGTTACCCCGTATTTTTGTAGTATAAGTCTTAACTGTATAATGTTCACTTACTTTAGCTAATGAAAACCTTTGTTTACCTTTTGTATTGGTGCTCCCTTCTGTTCAGGTAGAGTATGTTTGAAGGGAGTCACTAGCTTGAACCAGGATATTGTGTTCTTTGCTTGGCAAATTCTGTCTTTTGTAAAGCATGACATACACTCAGGGTTCTGTATAAATAATAAATTATAATAGCAATGGAGTGTCTGCCTTGTGGAAACTGTGGTTAGGTCAGAAGTGTGTGAGAAGCCGGGCTCGGTGGCTCAGCCTGTAATCCCGCGCCTTTGGGAGGCTGAGGTGAGTGGATTGCCTGAGCCCGTGGGTTTGAGACCCACCTGGGCAGCGAGACCTCATCTCTACAATAAATCAAAAAAAAATCAGCCGGGCGTGGTAGCGCGTGCCTGTAATTCTGGCTACTCGGAAGGCTG